GTATATCGCAGGTTTGTGATTTTTAGTACCAAACTTGGGGCGATCGAATTCAGTTCCCTCCACCTTATGAGAAAACAGCAAACCGAAATCCCCAGTGGGGCACTGGTGAAATTCCTACTCGGAAGAGAAACGCAGTTAGACTGCGTGTGCCCCCCGCCCTGATGTCTGCTTTCCTGGTTCCTTCCAAATCATCCTCCGAGGCTAAGGGAGCCGGACGGGAAGCAGATGCCCAGAATCGGGCTTCGTCGCAGGCGTGGTTATGGGTCCCCAGAGCTGCGCTGCGCTGCGCTGCACTCAGGCTATCCGCACCGAGCATCCCCGGAGGCCTCCCCGGGATTCACCCTGCGCGAATGCAGGGCCCGAAAGGTCATCTTCCCACGAGTGCCACCAAGGGAGCCCGGGGGAGCGAAGGCCAGGCTCGGACGCCCCCCCGCCCAGCGACCCCCTCATTACCCCTTACCTGCCCGTGGCGAATCCGGCAGCCCCCTGACAGCTCCCAGCAGCCGCCACTGGAAAAGTTTCCGAACTTCTTCGCAGGTCTGCACGCCCTCGCTGCGGGCGGATCCAACCAAGGCCAGGAGGAGGAGGCAGCGAAAGCCCACTGGCCAGGTCTGTGCGATCATCCTCGCCGTCCTGGTCCCCTTTACCCCGCAGGGGACCCCACTCGCCCCGCGCGCCCTGGCTGAGCTGCAGGCGTGGAAGACACGGCGGCCGAGGCTCTCGAGCGGTGCGAGCAGGCTGCGGGGTGTACGGACCGCCCGCAGGCACCGGCTTCACCTGGGAGCACTTAGCTCTTCCCGGAGGAGGCCCTAAGCTGAGACACCAGAGTTTTCGAGCTGAGCACCGTCTGGTCTTCTTCCCCAGCCGAGGCGAGTGGGCGCTGGGCGGAGCGAAGAAAACTAGTGGAGCCGCAGGGAGCCCGCGAGCATCCGGCTCTGGCCACCACTGCTGCCACTGTTGCAGTTGCCGCTGCCGCCGAGTTCACAACAAGCAAAGCAGTCAAGAAAAGCGGCTACAGCTCATAGCTCCTCAGTGCTACAAGCAAGTCCCCCAACCGTGGAAACTCAAACAGAAGATGGATTTTAGGCTTAAGCGTCCTC